TGATCATATCTGGAGTTACATCAAATCGAATTGTGAGACTTTGTTTTGACTTTAATTCAATTGCAATAGAATCGTTGGGTTTTGTTGAAAGTGATTTTCAATTTTGACAATTGTTCATATTTTTTTTTCTCAAATCTCAACTTCAGTTGTATTCTATGATCGTTGAAGTTTCTTGAAATGAGGTTCAAATTGTCTTTTGTGATTTTGACTGCTATGAAATATTATAGTCAAATGAAAAGTCAAAATTGATGAATCTGGAAACACGATTTTGATATGTCGATATTTTGAAATCGAATCAAAGGACCGATATCAATGATTCTGTAACTGGAACGTATAATCAAAATTTTGATGTCTATTTTGATGGTTGATGTAACGACCAAATTTTCACGTCCAAAAATTTCGTTTTCAAAACATTACTTTAGAAAACGTTAATAATTAAAAGCATTGTTTGATCAACCACATCACAACGTAAACCATGTCTAAAAGCTAAATCATACAACCAATCAAAATATCAGAGTATAAATCCCAGAGAAATCCAATGGATGCGGAAACCAGTGTGTGTGCATGATGTGCCGCTACCGCGCCGGCTCCTTCCCCTTCGATGAAGAGGTACCTGAAACCAAAACTGTAAACTGTAAGCACAAAGCTTAGTGAGTTCCCCCATCGTACCACATACCATATAATCACATAACATACATAAATTGTCAGGCATATTTGGGTGCCCGACCTACCCCTTCGGTCCTCTCGACCGGATACTACCTAGCATATCTAGGTGTTGGCCTCCCCTTCGGTCCTCTCAACCGGATACTGCCTAGCAAATCTGGGTGCTGGCCTCCCCTTCGGTCCTCTCGACTGGATACTGGGGACTATTTCACCCCCTACTACTACCACATAGCACATATGTCATATAGTCTATCTAGCATGGCTGGGCATGACCGCCCCTTCAGCCCTATCGACCGGTGTTCTGGGGGACTATCACCCCCCAAATGTCACTAACACATAATCATAACACAGGTAGTAGCAACCCTAGATGAATATCACAAAGACAATCATCTAATCACATATCTCCTACCGGTGGGCCGACATTGTGGCCTTAGACCCACCGCTACTGGAAGGTAACTCACTTCGTAGTAGCTGCTGATCTGTGTGGGAATAGTCTGTCTGCTGCTGCTGCTGCTCTGGAAATCCTCCGGCTATAATTCCCACCAAACACTTAGTCAAAAACTGCTAACTGTCCTTTGGGTAAAATGACCATTTTACCCTCGATCATGCTCTAAGTCAAAGTCAGAGTCAACTTTCAGTTGACCCGACTCGCCGAGTTGGCTCGCCAACTCGCCGAGTCCATGTCCAAACGACTGACATGGATTCTGTTTCTACTCGTCGAGTTAGGCGTTGACTCGACGAGTTCTCCTTCCAAACTGATGTTCAAGTCCTTCATCCTACTCGCCGAGTTGTATGAACAACTCGCCGAGTTCATCTTCATCCGATGAATAATTTATACTGTGACTCGCCGAGTTGTATGAACAACTCGCCGAGTCTGTTTTTGATCTAAGGAGATTGCCTTGAACTCGCCGAGTCTGGGCATCGACTCGTCGAGTTCCATTATGGGTGAGTTTTGGCTTCCAACTCACCGAGTCCACCCTGGACTCACTACACAACTCGACACAGCTAAAAGGGGACAATCTCGGAGACTCACGACTAGACTCGTCGAGTCAGATGAGCGACTCACCGAGTCTGCTTCATGCAAGAGCCATATACGTGATTATGCTCGAATCTAGTCCATTCCATTCATAGATATGGGTTCCTAGATCATGAATAACACGTAAAGTTTCCAACTTTACGTGTAGATATTCATCCTTGAGGGTTTTAGGGTTCAAAATGCACCAAAAGAGTAGATCTAAGGTCTTTATGCAATATGGGTCCATAAAGGTAGTAGATCTGAGCTCCTGGAGCTCAACCATGCCTAGATCTAGTGGCCAATCAACTTATTACGAAATATGATGCACATACAATCTTGGGGAAGGGCTCAAGGAAGACTTTAATGGAGTTAGAAGCATAGAGATAGGGGGAAAACGAGTTTTACCTCAAGGAAATCACTGAGAGAACACTAAGATGCTTGGCTTCCTTCCCTTCCTCTTGATCTACTCCACTTCCTTCTCAAAATCTTCAAGAACACACACTAAAATGCCTCAAACGTATGGAGAGATTATGGGGTGAATGGGGCGGAGTTGGGGCGCAAATGGGTGTTTAAATAGGGTGCAAACCCTTGGAAATTAGGGTTTCATCAAACAACGCAGACTCGCCGAGTCCATAATATGGACTCGTCGAGTCGCCATCTTATCCGCGCCCCAAAGTCTCGTCTCTACTCGGCGATTCGGGCCTCCAACTCGCCGAGTCCACGACCAAAAACACAAGTACTTAGGCAAAACTCACGTACCAGGAACCAGGTGCTACAGTTGAAGTCTTTGAAATCAAAGAGCTGTTGATTTTGGGTTTTGGGTTGGTATATGAAAAACAAAGAATTGATGGCCGATAGTCGTGATTTTAAATGATGAAATTGGTAGTTGTTAATGATTTCAAGGTTTCGATAGCAAATGAATGTTGATTTTAGTCTCTGGATTGATATCAAAGGTCAAAGGATGGTTTTTAGAATCGATTGTGTGATAGGTTCGGATTTGAAATCAGTGTGATGTATTAAGAAATTGTTGATGAACGAAGGGTATGTGGTTAAAGAAAAAAAGTTTTTGATTTTGGGAAGAACTGGGTTAATGTTATGTTTTGATTTTGAAGAATCTATTGTTGGATGGTCAATGAAGATTTGATAAATTCGAAGCATGAATTTTTTCTTGTTTCAAAGGTTAAATGGGCGTGGAATGAACGAAGTGAAGAAGAATTGTGATTAAGAGGATGAATGGTTAAGAGGTTGTTGTTCATCAATAAGGATTTGTATGCTTCGTATGCCGAGAATTTTTTGTTTGATTGGGGAAGATGAAGTTTCATACGAAGAGGACAGAGAAAATAGGAACATATGAGATTTTGTACGAAGGGGTAATACGTTTCATACGAAGGGTATGAGATTTTATACGAAGGATTATATCTTCGTATGAATTGAAAAAGAGAAATGGAAAATTTTTGATTTCAACCCCTAAACCTTCGAATTTTTGACACTTCGAAAATTAAAGCAAGTTTCGAATGTTTGACACTTTTTACCCAAATTCGAATTTTTTTTGGTGCTTCATATATTTTTGGGGAATCTTCGTATGATTTGAGCACAAAGAGCAGAATTTTCGAAAATGGTTCCTGAGACTTCGAATTTTTGGCAGTTTGCACCCAAATTCGAAAAATGACTAAATTTTTGTTGGAAATTGAAGATTGTGCATTTCAAGCCCCTGCAGTTTGTGCAAATTGATGCTTTCTACCCAAATTTGAAAAAAGGGGAGAGTTTTTCATATTTTGCTGTTTTGGGCGCAACGGGTCACTGCAAAATTTTGAAATTGACAATTTCTACCCATTTTTGAGAAATTTTGTCAAAGGCGATCCGTGAACGAAGCTAAAAATTGATTATTTTTGGATTTTCCGGATTGAAGCACAAAGTTTATGCCACATGTTAAGGGGGAGTTTTGACATGAAAAATTCCAAATAGAGCACGTTCTTTTTCCTTGGAGTTTTATAATCAAATTTCGATTATAAAAAGGAGGAGAAGTTTTATATGGAAATTCGAACTTGAATTTTTCATATTACGTGGATTTGAAGACTGAAGTGCTCTTGAAGTTTTGAAGCTTACGAGATGATGCAATTGGAAGTTCGGAAGTGATGTATTCGAAATGGATTTTATTTTATTGAAGATTTTTGGGGTGTGTTTTTATGCGCAAATTTAGGGTGATTATTTGGAGTTAATCATTCGTTGCTGCTCGGTTTGTATGGTCTCACATCCTAGAGCCCAAATTGAAGAATCATGGAAGAATTGAAGATTGAAGTTCGTTTCAACATGTGTCACCTTTGAGGCTCGAACCGCGTAGTTATTCGAAATTGGAAGAATTGAAGTGGGTCATTCATTCCTAACTTTGAAGGGGAGAATGTTGGGATGAAAAGTTATTCATGATTTACTTTGTAAATGTTTGACTTTTGTAAAACCCACTTGCATGTTGAGTATTAGCCTTTTGTCACATGTGTTAGTGAGAGTGAGAGAGAGACATGTAAACACCTCTATATAAGGTGGGTTTTTCCACTTGTAGAGGTGTGCTTGAGAGATGTAAAAGTGAATGTGTAAGTGTGTGTTATTTATGTAGTCTAGACCTAGATCCTTTTTGTAACACCATATACAATCAATACATCTCTTGAACACCCAAATCACCATGTTCAATTGTGCAAACTTTAATTCCGCATGCCAAACCATGTTCTTTGTAACTACACAGATCTTGGTTCCATTGTTAACGCGATGGAAGTGATGATTCTTTCTTTCATTGGTCCATCAGTTAGGTTTGAATGTAACCTCTCATTTACTCAAGAGAGCCTTATTACAACTGTGGTTTTTACTCTTTATACGCTTCTCTCTCTCTCTCTCTCTATATATATATATATATATATATATATATATATCCTATTGCAGTAAGGGCAACTGGTGTTAGGGTAGCACGCTCTACGGGTAGAGTAGGAGGAATGATTTGCCCTCTTGTGGCGGTTTATCTAGTGCCTGGTTACCACCAAATGACGTCGACGTAAATTATTCTTTTTGAGGTTGTGATTATTCTGTTAGGTGTTTGTGTTGTGTTGTTCCCACATGAAACCATGGCTCACGAATTGGTGGATACTGTTTCTGTCCCTGATTCGCCTTGAGAATTTATTGTTCATAAGTTAGAAAAAGTATGGAGATAATGTTCACATTTGTTGTTTGTAAATACACCATTATGCTAGTCAATAATGAGATAATGTTCCTATTAGAGAATTGTATTTTATAAACATAAACATTGAATTCAACAAAAAATAATACAATGGGTAAAATGGTTATTTTTGTAATTCAGCATAGCAATTCAGAGGTTCCAACCAAACAACATGTTAAAAATTCAGATCTTAAAAATTCAGACCCTCTTAGAAATTCAGATCTTAAAGATCTAGATCTTACCAAGCAGCTCCTTAGTCAATCAAATACAACGTCTTTGTCCGTCTCCTTGGCCACTCCACATCCAACCCACCAGCCTACAGGGCACTGTTCACTAGTGGGTTAGCGTGCCACATAGGCTTTCACGTGTAACTTGAGGCTCCATTCCAGATAGCCTATGAAGCCTAAATCATAGGCTCAAATAGTATTGTAAACGAACTATTCGTGAACAGTTCGAATAGAAGTTCGTTTATGTTCATTTATTTAATAAATAAACGAACATGAACACAAATTCTCGTTCATTTAGTTAAATGAACGGACATGAACAACGGTCTCATTCATTCAGTTATGTTTGTGAATGTTCGTTTATGTTGTTTATTTACGTTCGTTTATGTTCGTTTAAGTTTGTTCACATATGTTCCTTTTATATTCATATATGTTTAATTGTGTTTGATTACATTACTATATTATATGTTCATTTATGTTTATATATGTTTAATTATTTTTATTTATCTTTGTTCATTCGACATGTCCACGAACATAAACGAACGAACGCAAACAATGAAATTTGTTAAAATAACGAACATGAATAAGAAAACTCGTTCGTTTATCGGTTTATGTTTGTTTATTTATTCGACTAACTTAAACGAACATGAACAAACTCTCATTCGTGTTCGTTCGGTTCATTTACAGCCATAGACTCAAATGTTTAATCTAAAATTCTGTTTCTAAAAATAAAATTTTAACCAAACAATATTTTTTTTTATGTTTAGTTTATTCGTAAATAAAATATATTTGACATAACCTATTCTCTCTAATAAACGAAGTTTTTTTTTTGCCACTTATTATACTATCATTTAATTTACCAAATGTCATTGTGTGGTTATTTTGAGTTATTTTTTTTTCTACATGTTATTTTATGAATTTTTCTATTTTATTAAATTTCACATAATATTTTAATATAATAATTGTAATAAATGTACTAATAAATGGATATCAATTTCATTAATAAACTTACTTTTTAATTTCAAAATTCCTAAAATTAAAGTTCATTAGTTTCTTTTATTTATTTAAATTATTTTTTTTAAATTTAAAAAAACATTTTCATTATAATAATTTATTATTATTTTTATTTTGTTACAAATTCAAAGTTTTTAAATATTTTGACATTTTTTTTAAAATAACTCATATAATACATACGTCTCACAACTAATAAATTATATTTGAGAAAAAGATGTTTGAATAATTGAATGACATAATATTCAGGAAAAACAGATGTGCGCATTTTAAACTGGTTTTGAAATAACCGAACAACAGGTTTGAAACTGGTTTTTATAAAAATAATTCTATATTTAAACAAACCTAAACCAAACCAATTTTTAAACTGAATAAGCCGAACAAATTATAACAGAAATAAAGTTTTCTATTACCGGTGTTAATGAAAACCTGTTCTTTTAAAACCTAAACCAGTTTAGAAAGTATATTTGTGCACCTCTTTATGAATCACATGCAAATTTAATGCATGTGGGGTCATAGGGGTGTTATTCGGTTTGGTTTTTCGGTTAAAACGGTTTGTTTTATTGGTTTTTTTAACATTTTAATCTAACCATAACTAAACCAAATAAGGTTCAGTTTATTCGGTTATGTTTTATTCGGTTCGGTTTAACGGTTAAACTGAATAAAATTCAGCACGTAAAAATAAATATTAAAGTAAAAAAAGAAAAAAAAGAAAAAAACTTAATAAACTATTACCAAACAAAGAAACTACATTAATATATAAAATATTATATTCAAGTTGTAGAGATAGGTTAATCTAATTTTAATCGTATATGAAAATGAAAGAAACGATTAAAGGTTATTTGGTTAATTTGTTTTTGTTTTTTAATACAAAATAAAAAAAAATTATAACTTTATAATGGTTAATAACTAAAAAAAATAATGAAAATCTTAATAACTAATCAATAAATTTATATATAAAATATTGATATATATATATATATATATATATATATATATATATATATATATATATATATATATATATATATATATATATATATATATATATATATATATATATATATATATATATATATATATATATATAGGGTTAGGTTCATGTGAGACGGCCTAATTTTGTGAGACCGCGAGACGCATTTTTTTATTTTTTTAAAATTTTTTTTTAGTTAATTCAAGTTCCGAAAATGATTTTTAAAAAAATATTTTTTTTAATTTTTCCATTTATTTTGCATTTTAAAATTATTTTTAGAATATGTACAGTGTAATATTCTATTTAGAATATTTCACGTATTTTTTTAAAAAAAATAGAATTTATTTTTATTTATTTTTATTTATTTATTTATTTATTTAAATTAATTCAAGTTCCGAAAATAATATTTAAAAAAAGAATTTTTAGATTTTTCCATTTATTTTGCATTTTAAAATTATTTTTTAGAATATGTCAGTGTAATATTCTATTTAGAATATTTCACGTATTTTTCAAAAAAAAAAAAAAAAAGGATTTTTTTTAGTTAATTCAAGTTCCGAAAATAATATTTAAAAAAAGAATTTTTGGATTTTTCCAATTATTTTATATTTTAAAATTTTTTTTAGATTTGATCTCACGGTCTTACAAAATTAGAATGGTATCAAATGAACCTGAACGTGTATATATATATATTTATATATATATATATATATATATATATATATATATCCCATTTTTTGAAAATTAAGAGGTACAAAACACAATACATAATGTACAAACATGTTATGCACATCACTAACTGACATCATATACGCTTTTCCTTTTCCTTTTGTGAAAAACCCTAAAATCCTATACACCCATCTTCACACGCCGTTTCTCCCATTTCTCTTATGTATCCCTAAACGTAACCACCATTCCGCCTACCTCTTGAAGTTGTCGCTACCTCCACTCTCTTGAGACAATCGCTACTTCCACCCTCCGGCAGGCCTCCGCTACCATCACCCACCTTACGTCGCTACAACATAGAAGAGGGTCCCCCATTAACCCTTACATACTAACCCGATTATTCTTCCATTTTAACTGTATAATTGACTCCCTAGAAGTTCACCTATACTACCACCGGCATCCACCACCCCCCTTTGCCACCCCACTTCTACCTTCTATCGGGAAGAGAAACCCTAAACCTATCCCACCGCCACCGTCAACGCCAACGTCACACACCGTTCACAGGTACCACTAACCCTAAGTTTCCTCCACCATCGCCACCAGGCATCACACACACTAATTTTGAAGATACTCTCTATATTCTTTCAAATTTTGAAGATCCAAAGATGATTACAATAGAAATCGGATTTGGGGATTTATTTTTATGGGTTTTTCACTCGACAAGTTTCGTGTTTTCTTCTTTTTTCTATCCGATTTCTATTGTAATCAGCTTTGGATCTAACGTAGAGTCATCGAACCGAAGTTTGTTTTTTGTTTCTTCCTTACAAACGATGTTGCTTTCTCAAAGATTTTATGGCAGGACCATTGAAGGCAGGTATTTTTTTTAATATTTAGCGATTTTTGGTTCCATTTTGTACTGCTTTTTGAGTTTTGAAGATCAGATATGAGTTTGATACAATAGAAGGAGAATCGCATGACCAGAAGAGCAACAACATTTACAGCCGCCAACCCCCGACACCACCACCACCACCAAATCTCCCTTCTACGACATGTGGCTATGTAGTGGCTTGAGTGAATGCATTCGATTATGGCTCACGGTGGTGTTCTATTTTGTTGAAGGTCTGACTGTGTGTGTGTGTGTGTTTTTGTGTGTGTATTTGCACTGATTTTTTGAAGTCTTATTGGAAAACGAGTGAAAAAGGCTGCCGATGTTAAGGTATGAAATTAGTTTATGTTATCTTCTACTTCCCTGTGATTTTTTATACATCAGAACTTAGGGCATTTGCCTTTTTCATACATCAGGTAACTTATGTATATCATATGCAGCTTCACTAATGTTTTACCCAAGATTGTATTCTTATTTTCAATTTTTCCTATCATCCATGGCTGAAATTAACTTTATTTTTTATTAGGTATTATGTGTTTTGGCGAGCATTGTTGATGTTAATCATGTTTCTTCGTCTTCCTTCATGTTTTATTATATACATCAGAAGTTAGAGCTTGCACATTTTGACTTGCACATATCTGAATCCTCATAGCATTTGGGAATTTTATGAAATGAGGAAATGGATGATGGTTAGCTTTTTATTTCCATTTTTGTTAGTTTGTTCTTCATATTGTATACTAATCAGATATCCAACAAATCTTTATTGTTTCTTGATTCTTTTTCATCTATTTGATGTGAAGCGATTCAAGGAGATTAAAAGTTGCCCCACCATTGTGATGGTTGAATGCACTAAAGTCTTTTTTTTTTTAATTTCTACTTTCTGCAACTAAAAGATGTCTCTAATCTTTTGATGAAATTACAGAAAAGATGTCAAATATATTGCCTCCAACTGTAGATAATACGTAAAATTGTTTACTCTACACTACTTTTGAACCGGATCCATATTTCTATAGGTTTCCGACCAATCTTTTTTTATTTTAGTTTTGAGGTGAAAATTATAAATCAACCTTCCTTAAGTATTAGAATTTGATGGCATTTTACCCTTTTTTTTATCATGCCCTTCATAAGCATTGCTTAATGGGTAAAAAAGGTAGTTTTCTAATTTTCCTTCTATCTAAAAATGCCCTTCATTTTGACATCTAAATATTGTGGAATGAGTTTTCTAAAAACTCTTATGTTTCTAATTGATAATGTTGGCAAAAGAGGTGGATCTTCAACATGTTTTGACAAACTGGGGGTAAAATGGTCCAAGTTTTTGAAACTTGCCAAAATAGCAACCATAAGTCCATAAAATCCAAGGGTGTTCCAGATCAGATCTTACATCACCCAAGATAGCATAATACATACATCTTTGTACAATGTTGCTCATATTTTCAGGGTTCATGGGCTTTTTTTTCTGTTTAATTAAATTTATGATATTTTAGTTCTTATTTTCATTTTTTGTGGTTCTTTTTGACTTATGGTTTGTTCCTGGAAATGAGTTTTTTTTCATTTGTTGACAGATATTAACCAATCTGTTTAAGATCTCTATTAAAACATTGTACTTTCATCGATGTCTTTGTGTCCTACCATCTTTTCACGGGTAAACATCAGTTTCTACCATCACATGGTCATTTTTATATCTACATTTACCTTTTTACCCTTTTTAATCATTTAGCAATCTTAAGTGGTACTAATTCGTCAACCTTCACTTTGTTCTTGGGATTTGTTTCAGTTGGCTGTCTCAAATATCCGGCTTAAACAACGTAATATTTCTCCAAGTGACCAAGCAAGTTGTTTTATGTTTGGATTGAGTGGTCCTTTTTTTAAAACTACTTATTCTACTTTTTTGATCGGTTTTGTCCTATTGCCTGTTAAATTGATTATGATCACCTCATTAGTTAGGTAAATCAATCTACTTTATATGGTTTGATTGTAATACGCTTAATAGGAATATGTAATATTTTATGTATTTCACTCTCAGGTTCAAGAAGGAGAAAAAACGAAGTAGATAACAACTTTTTTTTTATTTACAGGTTTAAAAAGGAAAAAAGGTATAGAAAAGAGAACTTGAAGTTTTTGGATTGATGTGTTTTTATGGTAGTGAATTTGTATTCAAAATGATAAAAAAAAATGTCGATTTTGAGATGATTTTTATGTAATCGTTTTCGATATAAATGATTTTTAGAAACATAGATAAAAATTGCAACTTTTGTCCCATTGACATGTGTTATGTTTAAAAATGTATCAAATATAAGTGAATATGTGAGAAAAACACAACTAATTTTCTGATATTTATGTTCAGATATGCAGATTGGGTATTGTGTTGTCGCCACTCATTTTTATCCATTGATATTGTCTTTGTTTGGTTGCAGGTTGGTCTTGTGGGCACTCTGCATATCATCATAGTGAAACAAGTCTTTTGGGTACCATCATTGGCATGGCCCAAAACTTTGTGGACACCCATCACAGGTGATTTTTTTAACAATGCAACTGAACTTCTCAATTAATTACTTGAGTGAAGATGGTCAATCCATTGAGCCTACTTGGTATATAAATCCCTCTTTTTGAATTCAAACTTAATTTTTTTTTTAAATATTTGTTTTGACATATACATTCCGGTTATACCCATGGTCTCATCTCATTTTGAGCTTTTTACAGATTTATATTCACAACTAAACTAATAACAAGTTTTCACTGATATATTTAAATATGATAATAATATGATTAAGTTTCATATGATTTGAAATATTTTTGGTAAAGATTTCTACTGTTATTATATTAATTTTTAAAATTTTGAGTATATTTGTTAAGTTTTGTATGATTTTAAATATTTTTGGTATGGATTTTGACAGTTATTATATTCATTTTTAAATTTTTAATTATATTTGTCAACGATAGTATTCATGGTAAGAATTTAATTTGATTATTTTGGAATGATTATTAATATCCAAAAATACATCATTTTCTATTTTATAATACCTTATTCCAACTATAAATTTAATATATGTTCTTCATTTCTAACTCTCAGAGCACAATTCGACAGTTAGTGTTTGAGACGATTGAATCATTCATTTGGAATCGGGAAGACTGCATCATTGCATTGCATTCCGTGACACACGAATTCAGGTTCTCTTTACTTCTTTCTATCTGTTATAACTTCAAGTATGTCTATAATATTTTATCTCTTCTATTTGAAGTGATAAACTTCATCTGTGTCATGTAATACACTTATATAATATGTAGATTTGGTGTGTATGTACGTGTTTGTTACATTGTATATATGTATGGTTGTATATGTATATGTTTTGACCTTGTGTGTATGTCTATTTGAGTGACTGTGTTTGCGGTCTTAAATGGCAGGGACTTTAACAAAGTTTTCTTTTTTTCTTCTTGAAAGAGAACATGGTTTTCTTTACATGAGAAAAACTAAGAAATTAATGTTTAGCAAAATGTTGTGACCATCAAACCAATATCTTAACATACACAAAAAAACAGTTTTTTTGAGTTTGAGTGAATGTGTCTGATTGTAATAGTAGAGACTTCATCATTTTTTTTTGTATGTGCATTTTTATTTTTGCCAATTAATTTTAGTATATACTTAAAGAGAATATACCCTTTTTTGTTTACTCATATAACTATGGTCTATACACGTATAAATATCACATATATCACAAATATTACATATATGATATGATATATCCACAGTTTATGAATTTACCGATTTGCCCTTGGTTCAACAAAAATATAGGATGTGAAAAAAAATCCGGTTCCGAATGCTGCAAAGTGTGGTCACATAGATTGGAAATATGAAAAAAACCATAATAATCCAGAAATGATGTCCGTTTAGTAATTTTTGAGGCATTGGGGATATAGGCAACTTAGGGTTTTCTACTTTTGAATATTCCTTTCCCTAAACTTTGTCATGAAAATGGTCAAATAAGTGCTGCTTTGATAAACTTTTTCATGAAAATGGTCAAATAAGATATAAATTGATAAAGTTTGTCATCAACTTGACTTCTGATAACTAATGTAATAAAAAGTCTTATTGCTTGGATATTTCAAATTTACAATACCTATGTTATTATACATTTGGCATTTAAATCGATATAATTTTTTATATAAATAATGATGTAAATCATTTCTACATCAACATAATTTTTTTTACGTAGAAATGGTGTTATGAATAATGTCACATTAAATATGGTGATATTGATGTTTCATCGTTTAAAATCGTTGGTTCAAAGTTTAAGTATAAAACCCAAAGTTTCATTACCTTTGATTACATTAGGTTCAATATTTTCAGTTAAAGGGTTAGATGGTAATTTTAGATGGAAATAAATTATTTTTAGAATTAATACTTATCCATTTGTAACAAATTGTCAAATCCTATCCACGACCGTCAGTTAAAATGGAATCTCAATTGTCAATTGTAATCGTTTAGTCAGTTTGTAGAAGAGTCATTATATTGTTAAACAATTTTAACCATTTCAACAAAAAGTAAGATTTAAATTCAATTTTGACAATTTTAATCAATCATATCTGACTTTTGTTTTGTAGAATCATGAACGGTCACATTTATGTTGATGCATTTTCATTGCTACTGAACTTCCATTTGTGGTATATTTTGACACCCGTTCGTGTGAATTTCATTTGGAGAGACGTAAAAGCAAACAAACTCTTCATTATCCTCATTGATCAAAATGTATGTTTAAAAAACTATTTATATCTTATATTCATTTTCATAATTTATCATAAGTATTTTGTTTATAAAAATATTACATTTTCTATTAGAGAGAAAAATTGGTAGCAGTTGTTCCACAACAAATGATGCGTTTTATTTATGGAGGGAATCTATTGGGTGGTGTGTTCTCTTTAAACCATTTCCAAATCGAACCAACCTATGCTGAGTATCCGAGGTATCAAAAATACAGTTTATTACGTGGTGATTTGATGATTAGGATCAGCAATAACACGCGGTTTAATCGTTTGGCCGATTCTATCATATCATGGTTTCCGGTTTTTCCATTGGTTCCCTCGATTAAAAATTTAATAGAGGATCGGACAGAGAGAAAAATGATGATCGGTAAATTTAATAACTTATATATATATTTTTAACATCCTAAATTTTTTAAAATAATAACTTATCCTTTTAATAATCGTTGTTTTTAGGTATTGTTGGAAAAATCGTCAAAGGCAAGCGAAAATATTCCCGTTACTTTGGTTTAATGCCGTTAACTTCGTTCACTTTATATCTCCAAGACGGCCCGTAAGTGATTATTATTATTATTATTATTATTATTATTATTGTTATTATTATTACACTAAAACAAATTTAGATGACTTTGGAAATATTTGATTATAAATAGGGAGAGTATAATAAAGTTGAAACTATATGTAACTACACAAACACGCCATCAGATTGTGAGGACTTGCTATGCAATAAAGAGAAACTATATAATATTTGTTTCTCGGGTAAAATTGGTTCATTTGGATACAAGTAAGTTTTTTTTAGAAAATTATATACTTGTAGTGATATTAAAATAACTAAATCAATCTGTTTTAATAGTTTTTATATTATTTTCAGTGAACATTTTGATACCAACCGAATTAACCGACGTAGAGTTCCAGTCGAGGATGCCGGAAGCATTTAACATCATGAATATGCCTAGAAGAATTTTTGATTCCGTGTGACACATTTAGTGGTGTTTTTTTTTTTTTTGAAGTTTTGAGAATTTTTACGAGTGCGTTTTCTTTTAGAGTTGATCTACATTAATGTTAGACATATTGTGGTGAATTTTTTCATGTACGGTTTATTTTTCTTATGTTGCTTTATGACTTGATAAATAATAATTTTTGGATATTTATGGATAATTCTTTTAACTATATATTAGTTTCTCCTATTGTGTTTTTGAATTACAAGTTTTTAGTATATTTGGTTATTTATTAAGGGTTGTGTTGGTATGTAAAAAACAAAAAATAAATTAATGTTTAAATCAAATTTGATTAGTTTTTCAACAAAAAATTAGTTTAACGTGAGAATCTCTTGTTGAATTAATGAGCATGTGTACAGTTGTTAATGTTTATATCTGATATATGAAAAGTTTGTACTAATATAAATTGTTATTGATATCAACCAAACTAAGCAACGTAGAGTTCCAACCACGGATGCCGGAAGCATTTAACATCATAAATATGCCTAGAAGAATTTTTAATTCCGTGTGAGACATTTGGTGGTGTTTTTTTTTGAAGTTTTGACAACTTTTACGAGTGCGTTGCTTTTATTGTTGATCTACATTAATGTTAGACATATTATGGTGAATTTTTTCATGTATGGTTTATTTTTCTTGTGTTGACTTATGAATTCATAAATAATAATTTTTGGATATCTATGGATTCTTTTAATTATGTATAACTTTCTTCTATTGTGTTTTTGGATTACAAGTTTTTAGTATATTTGTTTATTTATTAAGGGTTGTGTTGCTTTTTGAAACACACACATACATGACTACTAAATCACATGGTCTACATTACAAAATGTTACATTCTTGATGATATAATATGTGCTTATTCTTAACATTTCCATTATAGTGTTCAATGGGGACTGTAGATAAGGGAAACGAAAACTGTGATGATTCCCAAAACCCGATAGATATAGAAAAAGGTATGTCGTTTATATGAGTATATATTTGCATTTATAAAATATAAGTATTTATCCAAATAATATGTTTGTAGAAAATCGAAAAAGATACAATAGAAACTATTATGCACGAAAAAAGGAGAAAAACAAAAAGAGAAGAATAGCTAACGGTGAAGGATGTAGTCAACCTACAACACTCACAAGTTGCACTATAATGGAGACAAACGAAACAAATATCAACGAAGATACCTCTGTGAGTGTTATAAGTGCTGCTCAGAGGATGAGTACTTATAATAAAGAATATTATCAACGAAGAAAGGAACGAACTATGATGACAAAAAGAAGAGTATACGCCTTTCAGGACGATCCGTATGATTTTGTTTATGAAAATATCCGTATGGAACATCGTATATTAAAGGCTCAAAACCCTTGTGTTTATTGTGGAGCAAAGCGACTACAATATGAATTCCCTACCTTTTGTTGCATGAGTGGGAAGACAAAACTGGCACACTCCCCTATTCCCACAGAGTTGCACCAACTCTTCACAAGGCAAGAGCAGCTAGAAGAAAGCTTCAGGTACAATATAAGGGCGTATAACTCAAACTTTTCTTTCGCATCACTAGGTGTAAATGTGGATAAAGAATTGGCCAATATGAATTCTGGAGTTTACACTTTTTGTGCGCACGAACACTCTATCATAATATCGATCAGCTAATTTCAAGGGATGGTAAATCGAGGTATTTACAGTTGTATTTTTATGACGGTGAAGCTGAAATATCACAAAGATCCTCCTGGAAGAATGTTGATAGAAGAATCATCCAAAAACTAACACGTATTCTAGCTTCGAATCCGTACGTTAGAACATTTAAACAACTTTCTGATCTAGGACCGCTTGATAATTATAGAGTGACTTTGAATGCATCGGTGGAGCTTGACCAAAGGGTGTACAATAAGCCTACCACATCTGAGGTGTGAATAGTAACATTTAACTTTATTCATTTTAAATTAAATGTCTCATATTTATTGTTATACATATCATATTAATCACCATATTGAACTACACCTTTGCATAGGTTGCTGGTATTTGGGTTGAAGGAAATGACAACATCACTGCATATAAAAGAAGTATTATTGTCTACGGGAGGTCTAACTATAGTACTGAAATTCAACCTCACTTTGGTTGTTATGATCCTTTGTCGTATCCTTTATTCTTTCCTAATGGTGAGTCTGGATGGCATCCTAAAATACCAAGATATGGGGTGGCCATGGATGAAATTATTAGTGACAATGAAGACAATGATGAAGGTTCAGAAGGTACGCCTTTAACATTCTTTTACATATTTAAAACATGTAACACGTATTGCCTTAAATATTTGGATATTAAATTTATATTTTTCACATAAATTATGATATCACAGGATCTACTTCAAAAAAAGGCAGAAACACTGTAAGTATGCGGGAGTACTATTGTTACAAGTTCCAGATACGGTCGAATGATAATGTGATTTTGATGGGAGGGAGATTGTTCCAGCAGTTTGCAGTAGATACCTATATAAAGATTGAGACTACACGTTTGGTTTTTGTTGAAAAGAACCAAACCAAAATTAGAGCTGATTTATACCAGGGCATTGTTGATTGTTTTAATGCCGGTGAGGCTCAACCAAGTAGGGTTGGACAGAGAGTTGTGTTACCTGCAAGTTTCATTGGAGGTCCACGTGACATGCGCCGAAGATTTCTGGATGCCATGGCTTTAGTTCAAGATGATGGGAGGCCTGATATATTTCTTACAATGACTTGCAACCCAAAATGGAAAGAAATCGATGATGAGTTATTGCCTGGACAGTCAGCTCAAGATCGACCGGACCTTGTTGCAAGAGTTTTTCATGCTAAGTTAGAGGATCTCAAGGTACAATTATTGCAGAGACATATAATCGGTGTGGTGGGGTCATATGTGTATGTGATAGAGTTTCAAAAGCGTGGATTGCCACATGCACATTTCCTCTTAATAATGACCCCTGGATATAAGATGAATAATCCAGACGATTATGACAAACTTGTGTGTGCCGAAATTCCCGACCCAATAAGGTTTCCTGAAATGCATGATCTTGTCAAAAGTCACATGATGCACGGTCCCTATGGTAGCTTACGAGAAAAAAGTCCGTGTATGCAGGGTGTGCCAAAAATATGTCGTTTCAGATATCCTAGGCAATTCAATGAAAAGACATCACAAGGAGAGGACTCATATCCATTATATAGAAGGAGAAATAATGGAATTGAGGTTACTGTAAGAAATACATCATTGGATAACAGATGGGTGGCTCCATACAACCCGAAGTTGTTAATGATGTTTAATTGTCATATCAACGTTGAGGTTTGTTCGAGTATAAAGTCTGTGAAGTACCTCTTCAAATATGTTTATAAGGGCCATGACAAACAAGTTATCCATATTGATAAAGACCAAGAAAATGTTGTTATTAATGAGATAAAAAAGTTTCAAGACGCACGTTATGTGTCCCCTCCCGAGGCATTATGGCGAGTTTTTAGCTTTCCTTATCAAAAATCCACCCTTGTGTGATGGCGTTGCAAATACATCTCCCGAATCAACAGTTGGTTAGGTTCAAAGACGTTGACAGAATGGAAGACATTGTTGATAGAGAGAAAGAAAAAGATTCAATGTTGACGGCATTTTTCAAGAAGAATAAAGAAGATTCCAAAGCGAGAGAATATTTGTATAAGGATTTTCCCAAACATTTTACATGGAATCGGAGCAACCATTGTTGGAGGATCGGGAACATAAATCAATGGTTGGTCGACTTGTTTATGCTAATCCAGCTGAAGGAGAGAGATACTACCTACGCCTGCTTTTATGTCATATCACCGGGCCTACCTGCTTTGAAGATTTATACACAGCAAATGGTGTATTACACCCTACATTTCGAAAAGCAGCTCTTGAAAGAGGTTTAATAGAGACGGATGATAATTTATCACAGTGTCTTGAAGAGGCTTCCTTATTTCAATTTCCCAGCGCACTTAGAAGGTTATTTGCGACGATGCTGATTTTTTGTGAACCAGGAAATGTTCGCAAGTTATGGGACGACCACTATGATTCTCTTTCTGAAGATTACAGGAAACAATATGGATGCGCCGAGCGAGTGCAAAATATGGTCCTCATCGACATTAGAGTCTTCCTAGAATCTATGAGTAAAAAGCTTAGTGATTACGACCTTCCAAAGGTCAGTGCACACATCGATTTACAATCAAGAGGCTATCGTGAGGTGCAAGAAGAATACTCTATAAATGTGGAATATGAAGACTTACATGCGCGAGACTCTCTCAATCCAGACCAGAAGTTTGCATATGATGAGATAATGAGGCATGTGGATCAAAATATTCCGGGTGTCTTCTTCATAGATGGTCCCGGTGGAACTGGAAAGACATTTTTGTACAAAGCTTTGTTGGCTAATATTCGTGCTCGTGGTCTTATTGCACTTGCAACTGCCACGTCAGGTGTTGCGGCTAACAACATGCCAGGAGGAGAACAGCTCATTCACGATTTGGAATTCCGCTCAATCTTGATAATAACTCGATGTGCAAGATCACTAAACAAAGTGGGAAGGCTCAGATACTTCGCGAGGCAAAGGTAATCATATGGGATGAAGCAGCAATGGCTAAGAGGCAGGCAGTAGAAGCAGTTGATCGCACAATGCAAGACATCACAGATGAGAAGCTCCCTTTCGGTGGAAAGATAATGGTTATGGGAGGTGACTTTAGACAAGTGTTACCGGTCGTGAGACGTGGCACTCGAGCACAAATTGTCGACTCTAGCTTACGAATGTCACCTCTATGGGCTTCAGTTAAAAGGCTTCGATTAAGTATCAACATGAGAGCGGTAAATGACCCATGGTTTTCTGATTTTTTATTACGAGTCGGTGATGGAAAGGAGGAAACATTGGACGAGTCCTATATTCGTATACCTGATAACATGTCCATTCGGTACACTGATAAAACTAAATCAGTGGACGCTCTGATTGATGCAATATTTCCTTCTTTGGAATCCAACGGCGCGACTCAAAATTTATCATTTCGAGGGCGATACTGTCAACTAAAAATGAAAGTGTTGATGAGATTAATAATAAGTTGATCGAACGATTTTCTGGCGAGCAAAAAGTTTA